TTTAGAGGCTGAAGGAGAGGGAGACGTGAGGGATGGTGGCTATGGAGGATCGAATGTTGTGTATTATGGTGAATGCAAGTTAGGAAGGAGGTATGTGCGTTTCCAATTATGAGTTTGTGATTCCCGTGTGGGTGCATATTTTAGTGTGTTCGGGATAATGTGCGGGTAATATGCACCGGTGGTGATTGGGTGTTCTGGTTCATGCGTATCAACATTCCAAACATTTATAAATTGTGAGAATTTCTTGAATTCCTATGATAACAAATATCATATGATTTTCGTAACAACTCAATGCTATATTTAGTATAGTTGTTTTTTCTTTTTTTTTTTTGTTCTTATATTTAAAATTTTGTTCATAATTTATTGCCTACATTTATATGTTGGGGTTGTGTATTACACTGAATGCATGTTAGGAAGGAGGTATGTGTCATTCAAATCATGAGTTTGCGCTTCCGGTGTGGTTACATAGTTTAGTGTGTGCGTTAGAGGACTCGCATATGTACGCTTATGTTGTTTTTAATTTTTTTTTGTTATTGTGATGTACGATTTTACATTTTTCATACGATATCTACTATGCACTTTCTATCCATTCGAAAATGTCAATGTCTACAAAAAATGTTATTCATGTAGTTGGGTTTTGTTCTTCCAATAAACTTGCACAAGCCATAAAGAAAACATACGCATGCAAACGCCTGAAAGAGGCAACGCACACACCCTACCACACAAATGCACAAACACTAACGCCAACATTAATGTACGGCAAATATCAAACACGAACACTATATCTTCATCATGCTTAAGACTCTTATGAAATTTCATGCTTACAATTTGCACACGCTAACCTACATAAGCACAACCACTATCAAACTAAATTTAAAAAAAAAAAAAAAAATTAAAAACAGATGGTGCCAAGATCCATTACCAGAAATTCGCACACACCCTACCACACAAATGCATACACTAACGCCAACATTAACGTACGGCAAACATCAAACACCAACACTATATCTTCATCATGCCTAAGACTCTTATGAAACTTCATGCTTACAATTTTCACACGCTAACCTCTACATAAGCGCAACCACCATCAAACTAAATTTAAAAATAAAAATAAAAAAACAAATGGTGAAAAGTTCCATTACCAGAAATTCGCACACACCCCACCACACAAATGCACACACTAACACCAACATTAACGTACCGCAAACATCAAACACCAACACTATATCTTCATCATGCTTAAGACTCTTAGAAACTTCATGCTTACAATTTGCACACGCTAACCTATATAAGCGGCAACCACCATAAAACTAGATTTAAAAAAAAAAAAAAATAATAATAATAATAATAATAATAATAATAATAATAATAATAACGGATGGTGCAAAGTTCCATTACCAGAAATTCGCACACACCCTACCACACAAATGCACACACTTGCGCACCATTTGCAAGCTCTGTAGGATTGTTGAATATTGTTTCTTTTTTGCACGTTAAAATATCATAATACAAGAATATCTAATTATTACCATTGTTAGAATGAATGATATTATGGTAAAAATGCTATTTAAATTATCACCAAAATTAAACACCATCATATAATTACTCTTGCACACGCCATACTACATACACGCACACAACGTCATACATAATCAACTAAAAATATCAGTTCTCAATACAAATTATTACTAGTTATTGCCTTTAATATTCTACTTAATATTATGTTCAAGATTACAATTTAATATTAACCAAAAATAAACTCAATACTAGAATTACTTTTTAATCCTTATGTTTTAAAAATGTCCATAATTAGTTTAAAGGAATCGTCAATCTCAACCAACCATGGAAAATGAATCAATGGATATCATGAGATCTCATGATTTCATGTATCATAGGGGTTGCACCGGATTCGAAGCATATATATATATATATATATATATATATATATATATATATATATATATATATATATATATATATATATATATATATATATATATATATATATTCCGGATCAGGTGAGGACCTATCCTTAGGTGAGGACGTGAGGACTAATCTGATCCTTTCATTTAATTAAGCCAACGGCTGTGATTTAATTATATACAATGAATTTAATTTTTCGTACTCAGTTTGTTGTGCATTCGTACTCAGTTTGTTGTGTATTCTGTGTTTGTTTGTTATGCATTCTATCCCAGTTTGTTGTGCATTCATAGTGTGATTTTTGTGCATCCATCCCACTTTTTTGGGCAGCGCGTTTTTTGTTTTGTCGTAGCCTTTAGATCACTCAAAATGGATGATCTGGATTAGTCCTCGTGTCCTCACATAAGGATAGGTCATCACCTGATCCGGAACCTCTATATATATATATATATATATATATATATATATATATATATATATATATATATATATATATATATATGTATATATATGCGCTCATATGCGGCTTACGGTGCAATGGTACGGCGGGGGTTTCAAAAATACACCAACAGTGTTAACAACATGCAACAACAGTGTAAGAAAAACACACCACAATGAAATGCAAGAAAAAACACCAAAACATACATAATACATCCAAAAAAAATACACAATATAACTCACCACCCCTAATGGTGTATTTCCGAACACTGTATGGTGCTTTTACTCACACCTAATGATGTATTTTTTTTGTGATGCGTACGTAATTTGTGCGTTTTTTTTGTGATATATTTTCTAACGTTGATGGTGTATAATCACTCAACTATTGGTGACACCGCACCGCCGCACCTGAACTTAACTCTATATATATATATATATATATATATATATATATATATATATATATATATATATATATATATATATGGTGAAACAGTATCCAAATATGTATATTAAATTTAATGTTATGTATATGTGTATCTCACTATCTACGTGTGTATCTCGCTATCTAGCTATCTCATGTTCGCCCATGAACATATTATGTGCATTGTGGACCTTTTTATTTCATATAATTTTATAAAATTCATCATATTGTGGTAATGTTGAGTACGTACTTATATATTTACTAGCTTTTTTAATGTAGTTCCAACAAGTTGATTACGACAAAATGGTTATTGATCTGGTGCGTTCTGAATGGGCAGCTATTGTATCAAGTTATATAGAGTAGGTATATATAGTTTTGAGGATTAGAACTTTGTGAAGCTTTAGACTTGGTTCTTGGAATTGTTTTTAGAAGTATTATGACTTGGATGGTGATTGGATTGTAATTGGTCATTGAAGTGTAATTAGTTCTTTTATATTTTGAACCTTAGCTTGTGAAAAATTGTGTAACTACACTGGGTGATGGTGATTAGATAAATTATTTTTTTATATGATTATGTTTAAAATCTAAACAGGTTAAAAACAACGTTTTAAACCCGTTGTCTTTCATATATAAGACAATGGTTAAAAACCGTTGTCTATTCTTCAAATTATCGAGAATAAAGCAGGTTTCGACAACACACAATAGACAACGGTTAAAATCTGTTGTCTTTTCTAGAAAAAACAATAGTTTAAAATCTAGATAGGTTAAAAACAACGTTTTAAACCCGTTGTCTTTCATATATAAGACAATGGTTAAAAACCGTTGTCTATTCTTCAAATTATCGAGAATACAGCAGGTTTCGACAACACACAATAGACAACGGTTAAAAACTGTTATCTTTTCATGAAAAGACAATAGTTTAAAACCGTTGTCTATGGGCGTGACTTTTAACAACAGCAGTTTCAACAACACTAAAAAACTGTTGTCTTTACTAGAAAAGACAACGGTTAAAAACCGTTGTCTATGTCCGTGACTTTTAATCGTTGTCTATGTGCGTGACTTTTAACAACACCGGTTTCAACAACACTCAATAGACAACGGTTTTTAACCGTTGTCTTTTCTAGAAAAGACAATGGTTAAAAACCGTTGTCTATGGGCGTGACTTTTAACAACACCGGTTTCAACAACACTTAATGGACAATGATTCAAAAACCATTGTCGTTTCTGGAAAAGACAATGGTTAAAAACCGTTGTCTATGTGCGTGACTTTTAACAACACCGGTTTCAACAACACTTAATAGACAACAGTTTAAAAACCGTTGTCGTTTCTAGAAAAGACAACCGTTGTCTATGCGCAGGACTTACAACAACACTTACTGACTTCAACAACAGAAATTTTACCCCTACGACAATGATGAAAAACCATTGTCTATATGCATTTTTCTTGTAGTGAAAATATTTGAATTCAAAATATTTAAAAGGCATAAACGGTCAAATAAATCCTTTTAACTTAAAACAAAAAATGAGTTTCTAAAGATGCGCATTGGGTGAAATTTACCTTGTGACTCTATAAAGGATTAAAATGAGATAAATCATCTTAGGTTCACTATAGCTTATGGGCTCAAGCTAAGAATGTCAATAGATAGCTCTCTCAAGAAAATGAACTTGCGTGGGACCTTGTGGTTAACAAACTAATTATTCGAACTTGTGCATTTTTTTTAATTATTAATTTACATGTTGCCCAAGTTGTACATTTCAAAAGTTCATGAGTCTAATTGTCCTTTCATGTAAAGTTAGTGGGCATATTTGATCACTTTCTAAAAAATTAATACATATTGATTAAATATTAATTATTAACAATGATTTATGTCATGTCATTCTTGACTGTTTACTTGGCAAAAAGTGCAAAAGGAATAAATAATTATATTACTCCGGAAGAGAGTAGTAATCAGTTTAGTAATACCTGCAACTATGACTTTTGAAGTTTAAAACACAAGTCTTTCCCCCTGCTAGTGCTCCCCAGCTCATCTTCATATAAATTTGGCCCGGAGAAAATCATTTCTTATCTAGTAATCTCATTCAAAGGCGACAATCAAGCTATAACATGATCCCAGCTCATATATACAGTCCCTCGCGCTCCTTGACTGATGAAAACAATGATCACATTTATATATATATATATAGTACCCCAAAGTAGTTCAAATTTTGGGATGAAAAGATGATTCCTTCATGTTTTAGTAATCCCACTTCTGCTTCAAGCAGCCCCTCTTCATCATCTGTGTCTCAAAATCTGGTTACATGCATTTATCAAACTAGGATTTTTGGCTCACCCATTCACCTCACTCTTACTTGGTCCAAGATTCTGTTTTCCCATTCACTCACTATCCACGCTGCGGATGATATGTTCTCCATCACACTTCCTCTCCAAGCTCCAACTTTCTCGCTGTTCCAGTCCCGGTCTGGGTCAAAGACAATTCAGAAGAAGGTGAAGGTTTACTGGGATTTCACGCGGGCGAAGTACGCCGAGAACTCGGCCGAGCCGGAGTCGGGGTTCTATGTGGCTATTATTTGCCATTCCAAGCTGGAATTCTTTCTCGGGGACCGGCTCAGGGAGCTGGTCCAGCGGGCCGGGCCGGGCTTGGCTCGTTGCATAGCGGCAGAGCAGGCCGGGCCGGGCTTGGCTCGTTGCATAGCGGTAGAGAGGGCCGGGTTGGGCGTGGCACGTGGTGCGGGGTTGGAGCCCACATTGTTGTCGAGGCGGGAGCACGTGTTCGGGAGGCGGATGAGTTATAATACCCGGGCTGTGTTATTAGGAACCAAACATGAATTTGGGATAGAGTGTGGTGGGGGAGTGTTGAAAGTGAAAGTGGATGGGGAAGTTAGACTAGTGGTGAAGAGGCTGGCGTGGAAGTTTAGGGGGAATGAGAGGATTTTAGTGGGGGAAATGGAAGTAGAGTTTTATTGGGATGTGTTCAATTGGGTCTCAAAATGTGACAACAACAATAATAATAATAAATTTGGGAAAGGGCATGGTGTGTTTGTGTTCCAAATTGGCGACGTCGGAGTTTGGCCGGAAATGGAGGGTGTGGAGAAGAAACTAGTTAGGAAAAGTTTGTCGTTGACGACTGGTACGGTGGTACCACCGTCGTCACCGCTTTCGTTGTCGCCGTCGTCACTATCCCCGTCGTGCTCCAGCGTGTTGCAATGGGCAGAGGAAAGCAGTGACTGTGGACGAAGCCCATGTTCATCAAGTAGATACTCTAGTGGGGGTTTCACTTTGCTATTGTATGCTTGGAGGAAAGCTTGAAACAATTAATTGTTTGATTTCTATTTGTTCATAATTTTTGTTTGCAATACTACGGAGATCATGTTTCTCTCCTTCTCTCCCAATTTAGTGTCCAATTTTAATAATTTTAATTACATCATTGTGATTCCATAGTAGATAATAATTGATTCCTATCTCAATTTAGATATAATATTAAGATACTACATATAAATTATCACGTTAATTTTCTAATCAACTCAGTTAAAGTGGTCTCTAGTTATAGTAAAATTTAATTATATGTAGAGTGAGAGAGAGCTATGTCATAAACCTTTTTGCTTTTCTTCTATCCAAAAGTATTGTACATTATGTTTAAAGAGTTGATCATGGAAACAATTAAAACGGTTGTTTGTCTTAATTAATCCAAAATAAATATCAAGAACGAATTACAATAAAAGGACCAAAAATGCTTGAAATTACTATTAATTACCTTGGTATCATAGCGTTCAAGTGTTTGTAATCAAGAATATATTGTCCTTAACGAGACAAGCCATAGCTTTGTGTTATCTGAGACTCTTATCTGAGTTCACTAAGGCTGTCCCCAACCCAGCAATTACTCCCTATTTTTAGATGACGTGACATTTTATTTGCAATTCCCTTTTATTTTAATTTGCCATGTCACTTAGCAAGCTTGCATCTGCAGCAAGCTTGCTGTTGGCAGCTTTGCTGCCTTTTGCAGCAAAAGCTGCCGATTGACTAATTTTAATTTTTATTTTTTTTGGTAAACGTAAGTTTTTATTGTGTTTTTTTTTTTGGTTTTGTTATTTCTTTTTTATATATATATATATATATATATATATATATATATATATATATATATGGTTTTGGTTAATGATTTTTATTTTGTTATTAACTAATTTATGTTAATGTTTAATTATTATTTAATTTATTTTTAAATTATTGTATTGTAATTTGTTACGTAATACATTTTTAAAAATTTAAATTATTATTTGTACTTGGCTTAATTGTAGTGATTTCAATTAGTTCGAATTAGTAAGGTTCATTTGAGGTTTAGTTTTACAATTTAAATCGTAATTCAAATTAATAACACGAATTATTTTAGTTAAATAAAAATTGTAGTATAACTTGCATTCGGTTATATATATATATATATATATATATATATATATATATATATATATATATATATATATATATATATATATATATATATATATATATATATAGTACGAATAAATTTTTAAATCATTTTTAAAAATTACGTTTTTAGATTTTCCGTATAACTAATTTTAATATTTAAAAATAATTTATTTTAAAAATTACTCGGTATCTTTTTTATTTGAGGTCATTTTTATTATTTTTAGTATTTAATGTAATTTATATATTGATATAAATTAATATATAAAGAAGAGAAAATAATATTTATTGAGAAAAAGATATTAATATTTTAGGCTGTGTTTGGAAACCCGGAAAATGACTTCTGGAAGTCATTTTCCGGGTTTTTGGTGTTTGGCTACACCTGGAAAATTCAGTCAACGGAGTCCATTTTTCGTTGACTGGGGAAAATGAGGCCAATTTGGCGGAAAACGACTTCCGCCAAATTTGGGCGGAAGTCGTTTTCCGCCTCTTCTCTTTCATTTTTTTTTTTTAAATTCTATGGTTTCTGGCGGAACTGGGTTCCGCCGGAAACCATAGGCTATGGTTTCTGGCGGAACCCAGTTCCGCCGGAAGCCATAAATTATATTTTTTTTTTGTTTTTGTTTTTGTTTTAAAGATTTAAAATAAATTTTTAATTTAGAATAAAATAATTAAAATATTTAATTATACCATTCTACTCTCATTTTCCAGAAAATGAACCAAACACACCAAAACAGTTTTCCAAATGCAACCAAACACTGGAAAAGGAAAATGTTTTCCGGAAAATGACTCATTTTCCAAAAACTATTTTCCAGAAGTCATTTTCCTGCTTTCCAAACGGACCCTTAAAGTGATGTCATATTGGGGCCCACTTTAGAAAGTTGGTAGAAATTGTAGGGATGTAGTGTGAATAGTAAATGATTTGTAAATTAGGTGATGTGGAAGTGGGACCCATTTTAGAAAGTGAGAGAGAGTTGCTGGGATGGGGTTAGCCTAAGACGAGTTTATGACGCTAGAATTCACATTTCACACTGTCCTTCTCTACCTCTTCACCCTCCACCTGGTAGTCTGTTCGCTAGAGATTGTCAGGTTGCCAGTTGGCCTGGTAGGCGCCAGTCGCAAGTCGTATAGGCTCAACTTTTATACCGGAAAGTAATTACAAGTACAGTAAGTAGTGAGCAATGAGTAAGATTGTATGGCTATGGTTCTGAGTACAAGATTCAGAGATTGTACCCCTACTATCATAGGGGATAAGCTTTTATATTATACAATGACTGCTAAGTATAACTGTAAGTCTATAAGAATCCAAAATTTCATTTTATAAATTTAGTATTAAGAAATCTCAAAATAGCTTTTTCACTCCATTAAAAATTTTTGCGAGCTATCGGTAGTTGAATAAAATAATTTCATCATTTTTTTAAATTAATTCGACACCGGAGAAATGAATTCTATTCGAAAACCTCTTAGTTTTCGGGTACTTCGCATTCCAAGCTTTAAATAGAGAAATTTATCTGAGGGAGACCGGGAGAATTCAAAAAGACTTTAAACAAGGGTTCATCTAAATAGCTTTTTGAGAAAATTCATTTTCAACCCCAAGGTATTCAAAGTTAGCATTTCTAGCCCATGGTCCATGATACAAGGTGAACCATGAGATTCTTATAAGCTTTGTCTGAGATATTTTGAGCAAGCAAATTTACACTTTTGCCATCAACCAATCATATGGGATCAACCTAGGGTTTTGTGCTCCTATAAATTGAACCCTTATCAGACAATTGCCTCTTGTTTCCACCCTTGAGCTTCCCTTGCAAGACACCAAACCAGACAGTAAGTTTTCTCCATTTTCCTTCCTTTCAATCCTAGCCATTCATTCTTCAAGTTTTCCTTCTTTTCTACCTCTGAGAACTTAGTAGTAAGGTGTTGTATGGTTTGTTAGAGGTGTTTAGGAGGTGAAGGGGGAGGTAACTAGCTGAGGAAGAGGTGGGAACCAAGCAAGAAGAAGAGGTCTACAAAAGGTATAACCCCATGGATTCCTTCTTGAAATTTGGCTCTGTGAAGCCTTAATATTGAGTAGAAATTATGAGATTTTGTTGTGTTTATGCTTAGAAGTGATCTAGTATTTGTTTGTGAGTTGTTGAGATTGTTTTGGACTTGTTTGGATTGAGTTTTGCAGATGAAATTGTCATCTGGTGCACACACAGGGTGCACCAGATTCAGACCAGTGGCCCTAGCCGCGGCCCATCAGGAGGGTCGCCGGCTAGGAGCGTAGCTACACGGGACTAGGGCACGGCCCTAGAGGAGGGCCGCCGCCTAGTCCCGTTGGAGTAGCGGGGCTCATGGGCGGCTCTTGAGGAGTCCCGCTCCAGGTCCCTGAGTTTGTTCTGAGAAGGATTTTGTGCAGTGGCCGGGCCCTTGTGGCTCAGCTACGTGTCGTATCGGACCGAGTGTTACGGGCCCTTGTGGCTCGGCTCTTGGGGGTCGTCTTGACGCACGTTTTGGCTTTGATTTCGTTGAATTTAGATTAAAAATGAGTATTTTATGAAGGAATTAGTGAAGATGTGCTACACAGAAAATATATTTGCTATGTACTGTGTATGAAAAATTGCTGACTATGTGATCTGATGATGTTCTTATTGAGTTTAGAAGCATGATCATTTGAGAATATGATTTATTATGAAAGCATGACTAAATTGAGATATTTGATCAATGAGAAACGAAACATATTTTGTTAAGTGAATTATATAGAAATTGCTATGTTGCAAACCGAGCATGATGATATATTCTTGAATACTTCATGTTAGTTTATACATGATTTAGAAACATATTATAGAGCATTTTGACATTTCATATGTGTCATATTTCAAAAATGCATAAGGGGCTAACGTGAGCCCGAGAATACTTTCAAAAACCATAAGCACGTGGTATAGCATTCTTTGATGCATTGAGAAGTAGTAGAATTGTTGCATGCATGAGATTGATGCATGAGAGATATATTTATGTATTATTTATATCGGTGAGGTTTTGGAGGATACCGTTTGGACTATGTCCTCTCGGGAGATATTTATAGACATTGCGGTCCCAATATATGTAACGCGGCATATTCCCACGTTACGAGGTTGGAAACTTCCCGCCAGGCTTGAAATCCTGGTTAGGGGGTGTGCACACTAATAGTTCGATACCTGATTCCATAGAGTTTGAACCACGAGATTGGTTCCGTAGACGGTAGGAGATATTGGGTCGGAATTATACCGTTCCCGATGGGGTAATTCACACTTTGGTGAAACCCTAAGCCGTCTACGAGTATAAGAGAAAGAAAGAGAGTCAACAGAGACTCAAGAAAAAAAGTCAACAGAGACTCAAGAAAGAGAGTCAATAAAGACTCAAGAGAAAGAAAGAGAGTCAAGAGAGACTCAAGAAAGTAACAAACATACCTCCACAGAAAGTACTCTATTTTTTTAAAAAGAGTGTATGAGTATTTATATATAGAGTATTGTACTAGATTGCGTAAGAGTATGATTATATTATTGCACGAGATTGCATATGAGTATGAGTAGATTATTGCATGAGATTGCATAAAAGTATGAGTATATTATTGCACGAGATTGCATATGAGTATGAGTAGATTATTGTACGAGATTGCATATGAGTATGAGTATAATGTTGCATAAGATTGCATTTGAGTAAAGTATCGCATGAGAGTACACAATGAGAATGTTGATTTATAATCGTTTTGATTAGAAGTCTTGTTTATCGAATTATGAGATGAGAATATGAAAGCATGAGAATACTTGTTATATGGTCTTTTAACATGATTCAATCCGTAAGCATGAATTGCTTGTTAAGTTATTTGAGAAGTTTATAAGTTGTTGAATACATGAGCATGCCAGCTGATATTATAGGGTGCAAGCATCTAGCAAGAATGTGATAAATTTTAAGATGATTTGAGATTAGCTTATTGCTATAAAAATATCAAATGTTTTCAAAGTATATGCTAGAATGTTTTACAGGGTTGAGTGTGTTATACTTAGCTTCGTGCTAACAGGTGTTTTCCTATTTGCCTATGTGTTGCTTGCAAAACCCTTTTCAGGTAGGCCCAGCAGTGTGAAGAAGTCGAGTTAGATTAGTCTCATAGATAGAGATATCTAAACTCTAGTATCATTGATATTATGTATGGATTTTAGACCTTTGACTTTATGTTTCGAGGATTGATGTGGGACTTTTTGGGGTGACGTTTTTCCCCCTTACGTTTCCAGTATTTACATTTAGTTCCCCGACTTAATCTTATTGCTAGTTTTACCCCTTTTAGCCTGTGCAATCACCAAAGAATGGTGGTTGTGGCGGTGATACTCCCACTATATGTCATTTAGTTTTTCCGCTACTTAGTATTGTTAATGACTGATTAGAGTTATAATTAAGAGTTAGAAAAGTGGGGTGTTACAATAACCGCTACAATAATAGGCACAACGGCCTTCTAATAATTGTGTCTCTCTCCCATAAGTGTGTTGGCCTCCATAACTACTGTTCCTTAATGAGACGGTACTCTAATAAGTGTCTTTTCTCTACGCTTGGTACAACCGCTTCGTGCTCTGCTAAACTCATTGTTACTATTTGATTGTCTTAATCGCTTTGACGGGTTAGACCAAGAATGCACATGTTGAATCTGAGATCAGTATGGTTATCTAATTATCATGTTAGTAGTGAAGATCAAAATCGGCCTATTGGCTAACCTCATAGCCCAGATCATTGAGTTCATTTGAAGCATCCAAAGTTGTGTTTTCTTAGGGCCCGAAGACATGTCGGACATTCGATCGAGAGATTATCACCCACAAATTCTTGGTCAACCACACGACGAAGCCAATACAATAGTGGACCTGGGGGGATGTGTGATGAATGTCTTAAACTCATGCTTTTTCCTTTCACATTTTGGTAATTTTACTTGTTAATCATTATATTATGGAGTCAATTTGGTCACTTATGAAATGATTGTTTGTGCTTAGGTGACTTGACAAGAAAATGATGTTTTGAGCCAAACATTGAGCTATTTGATCAAGATTTCAAGTCATCATAGCATGAGGATATTTTTGTGAGGAAAAATAAAGAGAAGAAGATTGAACAACACTCTTTCATGTGCTAAATATTTGTGCCTTAGTGATCTTGATGATACGTGAGCCCTTTATTTCTGTCCACGGGTACAGCCACACCCGTAGCCAGCCTCTGCATTTTTTTGACAGCGCATTTTTACCCTTTTAAAATAGGATTTCTTCTAGCCAAAAGAACATCTTTCATTTCCCTTTCACTTCCTAGTTAGGGTTAGCTTTAGAATAGCTTAGATTAGTGTAGATCTCTTGTTCCTTTCCATTTTCCAAGCTCAAGAACATAGCAAATCTTGGATTTCAAGGCTTCAATAGAGAAGTTTTCTTATTATCTCTTCTCTTTACTTTTCATCTATGCTTTCAATTAATCTTTTAATATTGTGTATTTATTGTTATATTATGAGTAGCTAAGTGTTTTGGGACTAGGATTTGGCTTGATTTCTTGCTATTGATGCCTATTTGAGTTGTATTGCATAAAGGCGATTATTTGAGTGATCTAGGGTTTGTTGTGAAATTGTGTATAATTGTTGGATCCCAATTATATGCTTTATTTGGAGTGTGTTTGTTGCTACAAGAGTAGAGCTTGTACACTAGCCACACATTCACACACTTAATGCCCAATACGAGAGTATTTTGGGTGTTAAGGGGAATCTTTGCCTTGTGTTCTTGTTTGGGCATCCTTGGGTTGAATTTCCATGAGAGTGGAGTTCAAGGTGAGGTTGCAAGTCCAAATAGCTACGAGAGCGGTATTTGGACACTTTTGTATATCTCACTTACCCTATGCATTGATTTAATTTCCTAATCTTTAGTACAATATTTGACATCTTAGCTTGAATCAACCAAATCCCGGTCTTTTGTTTTACTTGCCTTATTTGTTATTAACTTAATCAGATCAAACCAACTCCTAATCGATAGATCTAGCTTCTAAAAGAATAGTTCTAGCTTGTGCTTAACTCCACTTTGCATCAATTCCTAACATTACAAGAGTCATCTCCAGTGGAACGATATCTAAACTCTATATTGTGATTTGATACTTGATGGATGTGTGAAAACCGTCCTTATCAATGTGCGTCGACTACGCTGACTTCAACAAGGCTTGCCCCATGAATCCATTCGCCTTACCCAACATAGACCAAGTTGTGGACAAGAGAATGGGGTGAGAACTTATGAGTTTTTTGGATGCCTTTTGAGGGTATCACCAATTTTTTATGCATGAGGAAGATAGTGAGAAAACCGTATTCACGACTCCAAAGGTGATTTTTTGTTACCTTATAATGCCCTTCTGCTTGAAGAATTTCGAGGCTACAAATTTGAGAATGGTGGCAAAGATACTTAGACGAGTCCTTGGTCGCAACCTAGAGGCCTACATGGACAAAATGATCATCAAGAGTGAGCACGCTGATTCCCATGTACGAAGTCAACCTCATCGAGGTGTTCTCCATAATTAAGAAATTTAATTTGAGATTGAATCCCAAGAAATGCACTTTGCGGTGCACGGGGTAAGTTTTGGGGGTTCATGGTCTTAAGGAGGGGCATCTAGCCCAACCAAAACAATAGGGGTAGGCATCGGTTCGGTTCGGGTGATACCTGAATTTTATTTCAAATATCCGAAAATTTCGAGTGATATTTTTGACACCCAATACCAGAACCAAATTTAATTCGGATATATGTTCAGTTCTGGTGAATTATTTTGGATTTATTTTATGTTAGTTTGGATATACCCAAAATTTTATTTTTTCAATTTTGAGTTTTTTAGTGAGTTTATTATTTGTGTAATTATATCTTTTCATATACAAATCAAACTAAAAATAAGACATAATACTAATAATTAACCAATATAATTTTAAAAATAAATATATTATTAACAATGAAATACATTTAAAATTACATATATAATTTATATTGTTATATTTATAATAAAATTTCAGTTAGTTCAAGTTTTGGGTCGGGTATGAATGAAGTTTTAATACCCGATATTCAAACTGAATTTATATTCGGATATATCGTAATTAAAAATATCTAAACGGATAACTATTCGGGTTCATTCGAAATTTAAAATTCGGTCCATATTTTGGGTGTTGGTTCAAATAACCGAATTACGCCCACCCCTACAAGACAAGGTCAAGGACATCTTGGCATAGAGCCTCTAAAGTTCATAGGGAGGTCCAACGTCTCAACAACCAGTTTGTTGCCCTAGGTCGTTTCTTCTCCAAGTAAACTAGGAAGTCCATTTTGTTTTTCCAGTTCTAAAGAAAAATAGGGGGTTTGAATGGACCTTGGAATGCCAATGGGCCTACAAAGAGTTGAAGAAATACTTGATGTCATTACCCTCGTTGGCCAAGCTAGTAAAAGGTGAAATCTTATTCCTATATCTGGGCATTTCGCAGGGTACGATCAACTCGGTACTGGCTCGAGATGATGAGGGCACTTAGCATTCCATCTATTATGTGAGCTTAAGACCTCCGAAGTGTTGAGCTCAAGTACACGCCTATAGAGAAAAGTCATATTTGTAGTAGACGTGACAATCAATAAATTGAACCTCGGGAACATCTAATTGGTTGGTAAGGTGGTCTATGAGATTGTGCCAGCTCGACGTCTTATTCGTTCTTTTTTTTTTTGTTTGAAGTGATATACTCCCTCCGTCCCATTTTGTGTGACTAATTCGGTTAACGAGGTTTGACTAGAGTTATTTTTAATTCAGTTTTTCATAATGTTACGTTTATTAATATATATAATTTAAATATTTAGAAACTACATTAAAATTACTATTACTTTTTTCTTTAAAAAAAAGTACTATTACCAATGTTGCAAAAAACGTTAGGCGCCCCCTAGGCGGCAAGGGGGCGCCTAGGCGCCGATTTTTTTTATTTTTTTTATTTTTTTAAATTAAAAATAAAATTAAAAATTAAAAATTTTTAAAATTTAGTAATAAAACATAAGATTTCCATAGTTATTTCTCAAAAACTAGTTACGAAAGTGGTTGTAAAATTGTTCAAAAGATTGTTTAAACCATCTAAATACATAAAAACTAAAATTAAGAGCTAAAGAAGTATTTTTTTTTGAGAAATTAGTGGACCAAGCGGTGGATAGATCTCGAAAAAATACGCGATTTGAAAAAAAAATTGTCCAAAACAGACAACCGAGTCAAAAGTTATGCAATTTAAAACACAATATATATATATATATATATATATATATTACAAAAATTAAATTTAAAAATAATCAAATAAAAAAGAGTTGGTTTGACCAATGAATTGTAAACAAAACAATAGAAGTATTTTTTATTGACTTTGTAGTATCTGTTTAAACATAAGTCAACAACACCTCCACTAAGGTTTGTTTGATCTCATAACCTCCCATATGAAAGAGATCACTACATGTCATCTGAGCACAAGGTGCTTGGCACAATGGGAGTACCAAATTGGTCAAATAAACATATTTATTGATTGTATTAAAAAAAAATAGTCTTTAATTAAATTACATTATAATTATAATACATTTGATATTGGTTTTTTTTAACCTTTAATTTTAACCCTTAAATCTAGATTACCCAAAAGGTTGAACGGATCGAACTGATTTGACCTCTTAGAAAATGTATTGGCCATTCAAAAATATTAAAAAAATTTTGACCATTAAAACTTTAAAATTAAACTTGTTTACTCATTATTACTCTTCACAAACAAATACCCCTTTGGAGAAGCCTTCTAGCTTTTTAAGGTTAGGCTAGGAATACGCACAAACATTTTTGCACCTAAAAGAAAGAAGAATTATTGAAGGAATGCTAAGAATGGCAAACCTAAAAGATGTGGCCTACCTTCAGCTTGTTGTTGTTGTATTGGTTTTTGGTGTTGAATTGAGGCAGGAGGTGCAAGCGGATTCACCTTGCACAAGGGCCTGCCCTAAGGAATGCTTGCATCAGAAATCAGAAGATCCAGCGGTTTGTTATTTCTCATGTGTTGATCGCTGCACAAAAGGTATGCATTGTTGCTTATTTCAAGGGATGTAGCTATGTTGGAAAGGCTGTGATGTTGATCAATATCATATATACCATCTTCATTTTGTAGTATCCGGGTATAAAGAGTTAATACTATACCAATTAACATGACAGAATTTTTCATATATATATATATATATATATATATATATATATATATATATATAAAAAGTGCATCATGTATTATGTGAATGTGCAGTAAAATGGTTTACATTTTAGAATTTATAATTTAGTTTTTTTTTCTTACTTTGGTTTAAAAATTGACTTTAAAATTTAGTGGTTATATTTTACTTTTAGAATGCGCCTAGCAATACTATAAAGAACACCCAACAATATTATAAAGTTCTTTATAGTGTACTTTATACCCCTATAATCATAGTGTACTTTTCAATGTTATGGCACCTAAAGGTTGAAAATTATGCACTTATAGTTTCAAAGGTATGCACCTATGATTACCGACCAAAGATAACATTTTAGAGTTATATGCACAAAACGATGTAAACTTATGCACCTTAAGTTCTAAAGTTATACACCCAACGGTCAAAATTTACGCTCTTAAGTTCTAAGTCATGCACTAAAAAGAAGTAACAACATGCACTCGAAAAGGGAACAATATACACCCAAAGAAAAAGATGAATATGCACTAAATTAAAAGATAAACTATGCACTCAAAGAAAGAATAATATACACCCAATAAATTAAATAAAAATAATGCACCCAAAAAAAAAAAAATGAACTTACACTAAATTACAGATGAGAAAGGTGGGGAAGGCTGAGTAGTGTACCTCTTCAATGCTTAAAATTTTGGAAAGGCATTGAGTAGGCTGAGTAGTGTACCTCTTCAATGCTTAAAATTTTGGAAAGGCATTGAGTTTGTATCTAAGTAGTAACTCTTTAGTACTATTTATGATGGATCCCTAAATAAATAAATAAATGCATTAATCTAACGGCTGTAGCTAATTTCGGCTAATTTTTGAAAATTTAAAGATTTAAGCGGTCCTGGTAAGTGGGGGGTGTTATGGTAATTGTAGTGGTTATTTATATCAGTCGCTTGTCAGTATACACCAACAGTGTTAACAAAAAACATCAATAGTGTTAGGAAAAGGCACCACAATGAAATGCAGAAATACACCAAAAAACACACAACACACCCAAAAAATACACCATATAACTCACCACCCCAATGGTGTATTCTGAACACTGTGTGATGCTTTTAGTCATACTTAGTGGTACGTTCTGGTGATGCGTGTGATGCTTTTAGTCATACCTAGTGGTGCGTTCTGGTGATGCGTATCGAATTTGTGCATGTTTTTTTTGTGTGCATTTTCTAACATGGATGGTGTATATTTGTATAACTATTAGTGCAATCGCACTGACCGCTCGGGAAGGCACCAACACGAATTCTCAAATACACCACAGTAAGGTTAATAATGCACCAATAACGAACATAAAACACACAACACTATGGTTGATATATTCTGATGCCCAATGACGACTTTAACCTTGCAGTTCGCGTACTATGAGAACGCGCGCGAAAATATCGGAAAAGCCTTGATGAATGTGATTCGTTGAATTTATCTAATCTAATGGCCTACAATTAACCGCACCGCCGCACCTAAGTGCACTGCCGCACTTGAACCTTCCTCTATATATATATATATATATATATATATATATATATATATATATATATATATATATATATATATATATATATATATCATCACCAATATCACCATATGTATATCGTACACTTTTACACTTATATAAACTTGCTACATATATATGTAATAACATTTTAATTATTTTATTTATTCTTTTCATCATGTCCTATTATTCAATTTTAAACTATATTATATATATATATATATATATATATATATATATATATATATACTAGAATTGATTGCTTCATTCTCTGATCTCCCATGTTGCGTTACGTTGATAGGGGAGAATGCAGAAACGGGTGTTCACCAACCCCAAGGAATGAAAGAAGAAACAATCGGAACTGATGAGACGAAGAATACTATACCAACAACCAAAGACAGTGACGTCCTCAAGGACCTCATCATCAGCAATTATGATACCAAGCCACCCAGCACCAAACAACATTAATTCAACTGCTTAAACATAATTGTAAATATATATTTCTCATATCAAATATTGCATGTTGTGCGATTAAATAACTGTTAAATTCTTAATGACAAAAATATACGGAGTAGTAAAATTATTAAGATGAAATACAATAGAAATTTTCAATACATTTAATTACGATGTTAACAATTTTTAGGGGAATAAAAAATAAGAATGATAGAACTGGAAAGAATTTGTAAGTATATAAGAAAATAATATAATATACAGACTAACAATGAAAAAGATTTCACTAATGCATTTTTCACTAATGTTAAAACCTTATTATTATTGATTGTTATAATTTTTTAATTAAATGCTTAAACATAATTGTAAGTATATAAGTTCATTTGACAATATATGTTATTGTATGGTTTTTAAAAAAGAGAAGGGAAACTTCATAAACTGCCACGCCCCTTTCTTAATGCTGAACAAGGAAACTTCGCCCAAAATCCAGAGAGAATCCCAAGAAAATCTCCTTCCACCGCCTATGAGCACGACACCTGGTTGGGGCGTACCAACCCAACCGCCTTTGCAAAGCAGGCAACCTTGCCCACACACACCACACCCCACCACCCGGAAAGGGGTTTGGCCACTGGATCCTTCCCGCCTCTTGGGTAACGCAGTCAATCTACGGACTCCGAGCGCTAGAATATAATCCTAACTGGATACCCTACCCAAACGCATCCATCAATAGCAACACTAAAATATTTTAAGTCAACAACAATTTCATTTGGCCGGTTTTGGACCATGGTCCAGTGTATAACTGCTAAGTATGCTAACCATACTGCTAACCGAGATCAGAGATTATTATGCAACCTAAATTAAATGTGGGGCCTCTAATGCTGGGAGATCAGAGGAATTGTCAAAGCCACCCCGGTCCTTAACTGATAAGCCAATATTAATGCATGCTAGAAGTTGGAAGTGGGGACAAATCCAGCCACCTGCTGCCTGCAGATCACATACAGATAGAGCATGCATGCTGGAGTTTATGGTCATTGCAAAGAACAGGCCGGCCGGGAAGCCGAGAACGATATCTATTGGGGGCCTGAGAGTTCAGTTCAGGTAAGTTCAAGGGAGAGGAACCAATTACTAGAGATCAATGAAATTGGATGAACCAATCAGCTAATAAAAGCAAATAAAGCATTAATCTGGATGAGCCAAATATACTCACCTCAAGACTTTACTAGTACAAGAATCAGAATTTACATTTAAATGGAAGGAATTGTAAGCCATTTTGCCAGCACTAGAGATCAATCTGGCCATACCCCTCCTCAAAATGTTAAGAACTATATGCTACAAAAATAAATCATACAAGAACATTATTTCCTCTAATCAGATCACAAAAAGCTGTTTTAATCATAAACTAGTTTTGGGATCTTAAGTCATAGAGATTATACACATATTTCCAACAAGTGTAAAGGTTCTGAAGTTTTATCAGTTGATGCTGCGCCTTTGTATTGCCTCAATTCCTTAGTCTGGCTTGCGCCACTCCTCCCCTTGTACACTATGATTTTCAGCCAAGAATTCCTTTATCCATGGTTCATATGCAGAAGTATGGAAGCAGTTCACAATTATTTAATTAGGCATCTAAACCAGCATTCATTTATTTGACCAAAACTAACATCACTAGAATTGGAAAAAGAAAACACAAAGTGAAGAACACTTGTTCCAAAACACAGCAAAAAAGTTGAATGCTCTGTATCTTACCTTCGAAAAAGATCCAAGTTTCAGCATACTTGAGCACCTATGCTACCGAGTTGCTGATAATGGATATAACTTTCCCCTTCAGCTGTTCAATTCTCTGCATCACATCATACAAAGGAATCTAAGTCTAAGACACAAAATCCAATATGATAGCATATGAAAACCTAAAAAAGCATACCGAGCCAGAGGTCTTCACCCAGTTTTTGAGAAAAGAAACGGATCTTTTAAAATGAGAACAGTGTGGATGATCATAACTTAAGTGATAGGTTGAAGTCTCTGTCCCTTCAGCCACCCAGAGATGATTTGTCCGATCTCTATCTCTCTTGATAAGATTACAGAAACTTACCTGCAAAGACAACCCACCAGGCTGAAAATTAAATATCTTGAACACAAAGGCTTGCCCTTGGCAAATCCTGACAACTCTGCCCATGAAATGTACCAAATATAGTAATACACACCACTGTTCCTTCAGGATAACTATGTTCTGGTGCAAATGATTCATTTTCAGTGTTCACTGAACTGAAGCTGATAGCCAACAATGAATTATCCAATGCTGTTTGCGATCCATCTGTTACGAACACCCACTGCTTCTTTTGACGAGCAACTGTATGCAGCTCTCCCACATAAATGACCAGTGCAACAATATCAAATTCACTGAGAAATCCATGCAATCAAACAAATAAATGCAAAATTTTCTTGCAGGATCTCAACTTGACGCATTAAAGCAAAGATCAAAGTGACCTCACCTCGAGAGAGGAACTTCACCCAAACTAGACAATGAATTTGGTCTTCGGGGACTGAAAAATGGCCTGCAAAACCTCTGTTACTACTTCCATGACTTTCTGCAGCTAAAGAGAAAATGACATGAGCTTACCAAAAATATTGAATTCCAGAGGAAGATAAGGGTTGCCATTTGGTTGTTGATCCTCTTGTTTGCAAGTGGAGGGTGTTTGAATCAGAGCTTAGGGCCACAAGCCCTGAAACAGCATAAGCCTGCCCCTCAGTAAGCTCCACTTTCTGGGGAAGTCAATTGGCAAAACATGATAGAAAACAGTATAAAGTATGTATTGGCTGGAAATATCAGAATTGCAAGGATACCAAGAAAACTTATGAGATTTATTTGAAAATTTTCATTAACCTGTTCTTCAGTTGGATTCCAGATAGTAATTAAGCCATCTCGTGTGGAATGTCCTTGTCGAGTACTTTTACTGGTTAATCCAACAACTCTAACTCGCATAAATGGAGTAACATCCCTCGTTTTAAGACCAGCAGCTTCTAGAGCTCTGTCAAGAGATTTTTGTGTATGAGACTGCTTCTTGGCCTGTCATTAGAATTCACATTCTCAGCAACATCTTCTAGGAACAAAGAAACAGCAAATACAAGAAGTCAACTCACCTCTAATTTAGCTTTATAAGAAGAAAATGAGTTTAGTTGTTCAAAAGTCATTTCTGCCATAAGAATGTCTGGTTCAGCTGCCGTCTCAAGTATCTTTAAGAGTTTTGCCCCTTCTTCACTTTCATAATCATTGCCAATAAGGATATCTATGTTTGTGTTTTGAATTTCAGAGGCCATTCCCTCCGCAACAATGGACCTTCTACTCCATCAGAGAAATAATTCTAATATCAATTGAAATTTCAAGATTGAAAGATAAGATACATTTCTTGATCATAATTTAAAAGCATTCTCTTTGTCATTTTATTTTTGGTTCACCTGTGTGAGCCCAAGGGAGGGAGTTTTACAAGCTAGTAAGCTACTGAACATTAAGATTTTGCTTACAAAAAACTTTTGCAGCCAAGAACAAGAATATAGCTAATGAAAGATGAATGGAAATTAGATATTACAGGAACTAAAAGAAAATGTTTCTATATATTTGGTATAATTTGTTGTGCATGAATCAAGAACTGCTAAAGTAAAATCAGATATACCTTTGGTTATATTGATTTATTGCTTTAGCTTCCATCCTTTCATTCCTCACAATGTATCCTCCATTACTTAATCTATTTAATACGAAGCAGTAATCAGGCTCGGTGCAGTAAAGAAAATAATTTTCAAGTATGATAGGATATTGAGTTACCTTTCTCTGTATAGAACAGGGTATATCCTAGAAATTCCAACCAATGTAATAGGGACTGCACCTCCAGAATCCTTGATAGAATTAAATGCTAGTGGAACACCTCTACCCTTACCTACAGACAAAGATACAAAGCAAAACTAGAATAGATGAAAAGAAAATTCTCTAGTACAGGTACATGGTTTTATGTGTACAAGTCAGTAATACTGTTCTGTATTATGATTTAAGAGTAGTTGCTTACAAAATCCTAAGCGGTCAGCCCAATGTGCTCTGTACGTCCCATTTATATGCAGTACTAAACTAGTTTCCTTTGAGACCTGAAATTAAAGAGAATATCAAGGTTAGAGAAATGCTCATAGATAAAAGAAGAGTAGATATTGTGTAAGACCATCTCACATGAGACGTAATACTTTTTAGGTAAAATGTAATACTTCTATGGATCCATAAAAATTATTACTCTGTACATTTTATCTAAAAAGTATTACATATCTCACATAAGACAGTCTTACACAAGACTTATTAATAAAAGAAATTCAGTAAACCAACTTGATTAAAAGTTTAAGCGGTAACCTCAAGTGGTGAAACAGGCCCCACCCAGCCACATAGGCTAGCTCCCCAGATCTTCAGATGACAACATAAGATGTAAGCAAATGTGGCACCCCAGAAATTCAAGTTATGTGTGCATGATGAATTGAAGAAACCATAACCAAGGGAATAGATGCAATACCCTGAGTTTTTGGCCCAAAAACAGTTTTTTGGCAGCTAACATCTTGGACAATATTCCATCTAAAAGAGCAGTAATTGAATACCTGTTACACGAAACATGAGTTTTGAACAGTCAAGTACTGGAGCTCATAATATCTACTGATAGCACTTCACATACCACCCATCAGTTAGCTCTATTTTTGAAGTTCTTTCTACCCCAACTGGCAATATAGGATGATCTTGAGGTCTAACTTTGGAGTCACAGACTGGGTCAATGGAAGAAATGCACAACACCATCATTGAAGAAGGTGGTGCATCACCTTCTAGAATTCTTTTAATTGCAGATCGATGACCATAATTTACTTCTCTCTCATATCTGCATGAAGAGGAATGAGCAAATCATTGCTTAAACTAAGAAGTCCAAGAATATAGGGTAATAGTGATTTCAAATGTTAATAGAGGGTACCTATATTTTAACTCTTCCAGCACATTGGAGAATGTCAGCAGTTTCCCAGAAAATTTAGCAGGAAAACATCTTTCATAACATGCTAGCTTCCAAACAATCCACTTATAGTGATTTGCAGCCCACCTACAGTAGT